GCTATGCTAATGGATGTACCACATATGATTGAATAACTGTTCTGACTGAAAGACTGAAGTATTGTTAATGAACCGATTTCAATATTGTAAGGACATTTCATTCTTAACCCCTTTACGCATTATGTTATTCACTGGGCTTTAGCTCACTGTTTATATATATATGTGTAGGTGCTCAGCCACCAGGTCGGAGCTAGGAGCGCAGGTTAGACTCCAGTTTTGTCAAGCCAGCCTTTGTGCCTCACTGCGAGGTTCCGAATTGCCATGTTATGGCTTTGGGGTGTCTTGTTTTTCCCCCGTCTGTCTCCGTACTGTTTGGTTTACTGTATAGACTGTCAGCTACTAACTGTACTGTTATCAAGGGATTTGGTCCCTGTACTGTGTGACTGTAAATTTTGTGTGAATGCTTGAAAAATCTTTTTGGCATACAGACTGTCACAGCTCAATGGACATTATTTATTTACTGTTTTGGCTTCCGCTAGGCCCTGTACTCTGTTTTACTATACTACTGTTCTGCAGGCCTTCGGTAATCTCGGATTACTGGCCGGTTACGGTGCTAAACCCATAGGGCTCGGTTTGGGTCGTAACAAAACTCCACAATTCAGGGCGATAAGAACAGCGCCCATGTATACACTACTCACTCACACACACTAAGTTCCGACTCTGTGCACTAAGTTATGTAAACAAAAGTACCAAAGAAGAGAATACTCATAGCGATTTTAACAAAAACGCTTTACTCGTCTTGTGGGTGCTTGACGTGTAGACGTTGTCTCCAACCTCTAATTGAGCTTTATCTTTCTTTATAGCACTTTGCTGCTTTGCTTGCGAGTGTCTGCTTCTTTGTTAGCACTTTAGTGATGTGATTTGTTTGTTTTTGTTTTGTTTTGTTTTTTTTAAAGCTCGGTTGGTTTCACTTGCACATCAGTGATAGCTCTACTTTCAAACACTTTGCACACTTAGCAATACGAAAGCATAAAACCCTAAACTAAAAATTAAAATAAGAATATAACTTTAAATTAATTAATTTCGCCAGAAGTCCCCGGCAACGGCGCCAAAATTTGGTGGGTCGTTACACACACCAAAAATAAACACTAAACTATACCAAATTCTTTTAGAATAATGGCAAGTCTAGGTATTGATCCACAGGGACAATTGTGAAATTAGATTAATTTAATCGCTAAATTCCTAAATTAATTTTGATTAAAAAGATTGAGAGATTTTATGACTAAAAATGAATTAAATAAAATTAAGAAATTAAATTGATAATTAAAATTAGGGTTTGAGATATTAATTTTTGAGAAAAAATCCTAGGACAAAGAATTCACCACTAACCATATAAATGAGATTAAACATTGGCTATCAATTGCAATCCGGTTTGAAATACCCAATATTTCATAACTACAAGTTTGAAATATTGATCAAGAGGGTTGTTGCATTCAATATACAGGCACGAGTCACCCTGAGTAGCACGAGGTGTTTGTTCTAAACTACGGTAGCAACACAACCCGTCTCTCGTAACCTGACTCGTCTCGTATTTTGAACACAAACACAAAGAAAACTAATGTATGGAAAGTATTAAACAATCACAGAGAGTAAAATACTTGAAAAGATGAAAAGAATAATTGTTATAAACTTCTAAAACATTCATACAGTGATTCAAATTGAATCACAATCAAAGCATATGAAAAAAAATCCTATTACATGGTTACGGTTTCATCAAAATCCTAGAAAAGAATAACTTAGCCACTCATGGAGGAGTGGGAAGAGGTGGAAGAGATGAGAGAGATGGAAGACCCCATGGAAGTTGTCTTGAAAGCTTGAGAATCCTCATTTTCCTTCAAACCCTAGCCTCTCTTTCTTAGAATTAATTTCAGAACCCTAATCCAACCTCTTTTTTGCCTATTTATCCCTCTTCTGTCTTTCAAACAAGTTTAAAACATTGGGCTTGTTTTTTCGAGAAAAGTCAACGCATGTGCGGAAAAAGTATTTTTTCTCCAAATTCTATATTTTTGCTCATTTTATGCTCCGACTATGTACAACTTGATTGACATTAAACAGATATAAAATATATTATTTGACAAGCAAGTAAAGGTAAGAGACTAATTAATAGCCTCAATGTTACACAATTCAGCCTTAATCACATGGGACGGTGAAACTGTGTGTAACAAAAATAAAATATATATATACAAATATCAAAATAGAGAACTAAGGAAAATTGATAATTTAGTTCTTAACCAGATATAATTATTACATTTATTTTTTTTCCTAGCTGAGTTAGGCATATTTATTGCATCCTACAGTGCCTAAGACACTTTAGTTAACAAAAACCAATCTATCTATGCATTATATAAGAAAAATTAGATTTTTAGGGAGAAATATTTTAGGAACTTCAAATCATCATTCTTAAATTATTAAATTTTTTTAATTTTAAACAATTAATTTTTTTTTATTGGTTAGTTTTCATTTACTTTTTATTTTACAATCTCATATTGAGAAAAGAAAGAAAAAGTGAATTGTTTTGCTTACATAAAGTGAATCTTATACTCCTAGGAGTTTTCTTAAGTGTGCAAGTGCACACCATGTGCCACTTACACAAAAAGTGTAAGTGTAAGGTGTAAGTATAAGTATAAGGTGTAAGTGTAAGTTGTAAGTGTAAGGTGTAAGGTGTAAGTAGGTTGCACATGGTGTGCAACCTCAAAAAAGGTGTAAGTGTAAGGTTTAATTTTTTACAAAAGGTGTAAGTGTAAGGTGTAAGTGTAAGGTATAAGGTGTAAGGTGTAAGTTGCACGCCATAACCAAACCCATACTCCTATTTGTATAAGTAAAATGAGATTTTTAGAAAAAAACCTTATGATCAATATCTCATACTAATTTTTAATTTTTTTTTAATTTTAAACAATTAAACAAATCCCTATTAGCTACTTTCCATTTAGCTTTTATTTTACAATCTCACATAGAGGTTTTGATTTTAAATATAATTTTGTATGAGGTTTTGAAACTCTCATAATATCTCTCATTAAAAGTATTCTTTTGTAAAATATATAGATATATTGATAATTTTAACATCACTCTTACTGTTCCTTAATACAAAAATTATGAGATAATTATGATAATTTTAAATTTGTATGTAAAACTTATAAATCATGGGATAGATTATGATAATTTTAAATTTATATTGTGTCAATTTTAAATTTAAATTAATAGATTGCTTTGTATATTTAGTGACAGTTTAAATTAAAGTATTCTTTTGTAAAATATATAGATATATTGATAATTTTAACATCACTCTTACTGTTCCTTAATACAAAAATTATGAGATAATTATGATAATTTTAAATTTGTATGTAAAACTTATAAATCATGGGATAGATTATGATAATTTTAAATTTATGTTGTGTCAATTTTAAATTTAAATTAATAGATTGCTTTCTATATTTAGTGACAGTTTAAATTTTAATAAAATAAAATAAAATTTAAAATTTTTAATTAATTAATTTTTGTGTAAGCTGGTTAATGTTTTGACCTAATTGATTAAGCTAAATTGTTTTTGGTTTTAATGATTTGCTGGTTTAACAATAATTTGGCTAGCTTTCATTTAATTTTTATTTTATAATCTCACATCGGAAAAAGAAGAAAAAAGTAAATTGTTTCACTTAAATAAAGTGAATTTTATGTTCTCATTTATATAAATTATTGAATTTTCTTAATTTTAAACAATTAAGAAAATTTCCATTGGCTACCTTCCATTTAATTTTTATTTTAGAATCCCACATCAAGAAAAGAAGGAAGAAATTAATTGTTTCACTTACATAAAGTGAATCTTATGCTCCTATTTATATAAGCAAAAAGAGATTATTAGTAAGAAGTCTTATGATCAATATCTCATGCTATTTTTTTTGATTTTCTTAATTTTAAACAATTAAGAAAATCCCGATTGACTAGCTTTCATTTAACTTTTATTTTACAATCCCACATAGAGGTTTTGATCTTAAAAATAATTTTGTATGAGATTTTGAAATTTTCATAATATTTCTCCTTAAAAGTATTCTTTTGTAGAATATATATATATATATATTTATTGATAATCTCAATATCACTCTTATTACTCATTAATACAAAAATTATGAGATAATTGTGATAATTTTAAATTTGTATTTAAAACCTATAAATTATGGGATAGATTATTATAATTTTAAATTTATGTTGTGTCAATTTTAAATTTATATTAATAGATTGTTTTCTATATTTAGTGATAGTTTAAATTTTAATAAAACAAAATTTAAAAGTTTTAATTAATTAATTTTTGTGTAAGCTGGTCGGTCTTTTGATCTATCTGATTAAGCTAAATCATTTTTTGTTTGAATAATTTGCTCGTTTAATCGTGATTTTAGCGGTTTTACTTTCTTTCTTCATCATTAAGTTTTTAAATTTTTTTAAATTATTTCTATTTCAAAAACCAATATGACAATTTTTTAAAATTCATATAATTTTAATTCTAAAATATTAAAATATTAGAATTATGTTATTTTTTTATAACAAAGTATAATTTTAATTATTAATTGTCAATATAACAATTTTAATCTATCTATACTATATGTTATAGTAAATGAACATTTTAAAAAAAAACCCTTAAATTTATGTATAAAATTTTATTTACAAGAGACAAAATATAAAAAAAGAATAATGCTTGGGACCCCCTTTTGGGGGTCACCCCCTCACCCCCTTTGTCACGTGGAGGGTGGTGATTGGAGGAGCAGGAAAAAAAAGAAAAAGAAAAAGAAAAAGAAAATGTAGCCAATGAGAGAGAGAGGGGGTCAAAGGGGTGGGGGAAAAAGGAGGGATGAATCATTGTTGATAAAAAAATTAAACATAATTATTTTATTTTTAATAAATAATATATGAATTAAAGTTTTGTTAACCACTTGGCTGACGTGGCAAGTGATTATTGGTGAGGCAGCCACAATTCAACCATGACAAAACCAGGCCGCGAACAAATCAATTGTTCGCACATCAGGAATATCGATATAGCTCAAGGCCGCCGTCATGCAAAACCCCCTCAAAACCCTAGAAACAACTCACTCTCCACCACAACAACGAAGACGATCCAAAAAAAAAAACCTAGAAAAATTTACACCAATCCAACAACACAAATCCACAATCACCTCAAATTTCCCATAATCCAAACCCTAATCCCCTAAAACCCTAGAATCAATCCCTCCATAGCAACACACAGACATCTAGATATGAATTTGTAGGTATTTATCTATCTGTAAGATGAAGACTATTTCAGGGAATGTGACATCTACGAAGCCAATCTCTCTCTCCAAAGCTTCGAAAATCCTCTCCAACTTCGTCACCGCCGAGACCGGAGCTTCCCACGCTGTGTCCGCATACCTGAAACGCGCTTCGGCATCGTTCAACGAGTTGGTTCAGTTCCACAAAGAGCTCAAGGCTTCGAAGCCCGATCGAAGGCTCAAGAACAATGTCCAAGATCACCCTTTGAAGTACGAGCACAACTCAGAGGAAGAGTACGAAGAGGACAGTGTGGGAAAGAAGCATAAGAAGAAGACGAAGAAGAAGAGGAAGAGTGAGGGGGTTGATGATGAAGAGGTTGTTGATTCGGCGGAACAGAGTAATTCGAAGAACAAGAAGAAGAAGAGGAAGAGTGAGGAGGCTGATAATGAAGAGGTTGTTGATTCGGCGGAACAGAGTAATTCGAAGAAGAAGAAGAAGAAGAGGAAGAGTGAGGAGGTTGATGATGAAGAGGTTGTTGATTCGGCGGAACAGAGTAATTCGAAGAAGAAGAAGAAGAAAAAGAGGAGAATTGAACATGATCAATAGTGCGCTGAGCTATGATATGGATTGTTGTTGCTGTTGTCATTCATGGGTGGTGTGATTAAAGGAGGGTTTTTTTTCAGAGCAATCGATAGTTTGGGTAATATTTGAGATGTTAATGTTTATTTCATGTAATACCTAGGGAGTTTGTCCCTTTTCAATTTATTTGCTGAAATGAAATTATTTTTGGTGGTTTTTGCTATGTGAATTTTGAAGGATAATATCTAAATCAACTGCAATTTTATGAGGATGATTTTGAATGACAGTCTTAGTTGATGAACTGCAATTTTATAATGAATGATTATAGGAGTGCCCTGTTTAGACTCTGCAGGGCTCACTTTGAAGCTACTGAGTGATTCATATTTTGCTAGCAATGATAATGTAATGATCAAAGTAGGGGATACCGAGTTCAATCTCTCCTAATAGTTGAAAATTGGCTTTTGCTTGTATTCATTGACTACATGAAAATTGCAGTTGCTCTTGAAATAGTGCAAACATGTGGTGATGTTCATACATGCAATGTGTGTCGCAAGGAAGCGTTGCTCTTGCAGCATACTTGTTTGGAAAAGAAAAAAAAAAAGGATTTTACTATCGGTTAGATTTGTGCACTGTTTAATGTTTTTATGCACATCAATGGCAGAAGAGAAATTGCTGGTAAGGCTGAAGGGGGAGTTTCACCATTTACTTGTACAGTTCTGATTCATGGCAAAACCTTTGTGCAAAATCTAAATGTATCTCTGATATTCTTCATGTAGAGCTGACCTATTTTTTGACTTACTGGTTTGTATTTTGCTGGAGTTTATCAGTGCGGATACTGGTTTGTTTCATGATTCATTTTAACTTGACATGATCTATACTAGCAGTTATGTTTTAGACATGATTTGATATCCAGTTTAATCATAAATGGAATCTTTTTAGACTTTATTGGTTACCCCTAAATTTCAATTTAATGGTTAGATAATTATTATCTGTTGCGAGAACCATACATAATACAAACCATAGATCAAGTCCGAAAGCGTAAGAAGCATGGGCACTTCTATGAAGTTATTATGTTCCTTGGACCCTAACACGTGGTGCACATGTCTAAAAAATATCTTTCTTTCTCTACTATTGGACACACTTTGGATGCTATGGACACATTGGCCTTCCACCTGGACAAACATGAAACATTTGTGGTATGATTGATCCAATAACTCTAGTCTCGTGATTTTATCATGCACACCCACACAGAGACACATTGCCAAGCTAATTTGATCATCCTGACTCCTAAGAAAAGAGCAGGTGCTATTTCAACATTAAACTCCTACCTCGTCCTCTAATTTCAATAATATATAGACATATTAGGCTTTGGGAGTGAGTGAACTACCCAGGGAGAAAGGGACGTCTAAGAAGTACGGACACTTTTAAGAAGGTGACGTATCTGTGTTGTATCCTTATCGGACACGAACACTCTTTGGACATTTTCCCGGCTCGTGTCTGATACTCTTCAAAACGTGTTCTATTTTTTAATTTTTTTTAAAGACTCGGACACTCTTTGAACACTTGGAGGACTTATGTGTCTATCGCTTAAACATATATATCTATCGATTAGACACGTGTGAAACTAATTATAAGTTTGAATAAAATAACTTAAACTAATTATAGGAATTAGTATCATATTGCATTTTTTATTATCTTTGAATGTTATATTCATAGATATAACATATAATAAATATATAAAATTATATATTTTATGCGTGTCTTCCACGTATCGTGTCCTGCATTTTTTGAAAATTAATGTGTCTTGTTGTATCGTGTCGTGTCGCATGTCAGTGTCCATGCTTGGTAGGGGGTGTTACATGTGTGTATTTATATGTGTATTTCAGTAAACATATGTTTATATATATCTATCTGTGGTGTAATAGGATTGGTCTTGTTGATATTGAAGGTTGCAAACTGTCCCTTCTTCTGGCTGGCATGACCATCAATTTCTAAGCACATTGGACTAAAGGTAAATTGCTTACAATTGATAGATAGATATGTACTAGCGGTGGGTGCAAACATAGCATTTGCAATTTTATATTTAAATTTTTTAATAGTATGATGAATGAGGAAAATTTATTAGCAGGTTTGGATGGTTTGATGATGGAGAAAAATTATTTTAACAGTTATTGGATGTGATAGTGATTGGGTGGAAAGGGGTGACAGGTACTGGGTTGGAAGGGCATTCTTAAACAAGTAAAAATCATGATAGTGCTCACACCAACTCATGTGTACGCTTTATATGATAGAATAAATATTTAGTTTTGATCTTAGAGTTGAATCGAGATTAAGAATAGCAATTGCATGGCTGAACTAGAAGTGTCAACTTACCGGTAATTGGATGGTTGAGGGTTCGAACATTTTCATCCTTGTTACTCAGATTGTACTTTTTGGATTCACAGCATCTTATGATTCTCACTTTCCCACCCTATGATACTTAATCACAATTACAATTCATCCCATCCTCCACAACTGCTAAAATTAAATAAATAAAGTCTCTCTCTACATGCACAGATTTCAGTCTTATTAGCTAACACATACACCTTGACCAATGCTGTGGCTGTCTCCACATCATTATGTTAAGATACTCATATCAAAATTATTGTTATTGATCTTAGATGATTCTTAATAAATTTATTTGGTTATAAAAGCCCCCTAAAAGAATTTGCAGAAGTCAAATTCATATTATCTTCTTAATGAAAAAATTAACATCATTATAAAACAATTGATGTAGAACACAGTAGGAGAAGAATAGAAGAGAGAGGAAGAAATCCTAACACAATGGTCAAAGCTCTAATCTCAATATTATTAAGCCAAAGTTGTCTAATAGAATGTCAAAACATCTTACGTATACGCAAATAACCGTAATAAAAAATTGGAAACTAAATTCTAACAAAATAGGAAACTAAATATTACTAATCCTGATAAAACTATAAATAAAATGAATTAACATTAAATTAAAAAATAAATAAAATCTCCATGCCAACTTGGAGTGCGCACTTCTGGCATCATCAACACTACAACTGAGAAATCATTTTGCACTGGCCAAAAGGTTTTGTGATTGCATCTCGAAAGGGAAGCCATCCGCCTTGGAGTCATCTGCAGACCAAATAAAGATGCCATGAAGTTTACCTTGACTTTTGAGCATGCTGCAGGCTGTAAAGAACCCTTTTTAGGCTTCAAGCCACCACTTGCATCGGTGCTGAAGCTCACTAAAACTTTACCTCCTTTATAGTTTGAGGTTTGAGTCTCAAAATGTTGTAGAAACTGAGGAATAGTTGTCCCCTTGTCAAAGGCATAAAATTGGAAGTTCACAGTCTATTAGATGCCCATACTTCCTCCACGGAGCCAAGTAATGTGGCTGGACATTATTATCATCATATGGTGCTATCGATGCAAATGACACAATCTTACGTTGTTTGAGGTTGAAAATTAGCTGTCCAATGCACTCGGCGAATGTATTGGGATCAGCATGGAAGTGTTCATAATTGATGTCAATTCCATCCAAATTGTTTTCTTTGACTATCCGAGTGATTGAACTAATAGCATTTCTAACCCAAGAACTTATTGTTGCAGGGCTGAAGAAGACAGGGTGATTGTTACTAGCTGTATCACCTCCAAGACTCATAGCTACCTTGACATTTGGATGGCGGGCCTTGATGGAAGAAACCTGAAATGGGCTGAGGTTGTTGGTGTCCCAGAAGGCACTGAAGTCACCATTAGTTGGGGTAGGGGCATCTGTGTTTGTGTAGTCATTGGCAAAGGAAAGGATGAAATGGAAATCAACATTGGGATTAATGGGTACATCTGAAAAACTAATGTTGTTGCCATCAGCTCCTATGTATTCTCTGAAGAGCTTTGAGTTTGTTGGGGCTGCTTGGATTAGTGAAGAAGTGGCAATGAGGACATGGAAAATGCACAAACAAACAAGGAGCTTTGATGAAGCCATGCTTATTGGATGTAGAGTTTCTGTTTCTACGAGGTATTTATACTAGCAAAATGATTTAAACTATTTACTTGTCAACAATGTATTTGCTTCTATGAGGGCATTTAATTATAATTGATTCTTCATTTGTTTATGCAGGCGTACAGTACCATACACTGTCTTTTAGTTATTGTATATCTATGAGGAATCTTCTGTTGTGCGGCTGTCTTGTTTTAGTTAGAACTTGTCTACAAAAAACCATAATGTGTATTCTATTCTCTCCTCGGCATGAACTTAAAATTTATCACCTGTGCTGGACATAGCTTCAGGAGAAAAAAAACTGATGCTATATTTTTTGGTTTCTTGTTTCATGACAGTGAATGGCATGAAATGGGATGGGATATCCTATTATCGAACCATAATGTGTATTCTATTCTCTCCTAGGCTTGAACTTAAAATTTATCACCTGTGCTGGACATAGCTTCAGGAGAAAAAAAAACTGATGCTATATTATTTGGTTTCTTGTTTCATGACAGTGACTGGCATGAAATGGGATGGGATATCCTATTATTGAATGTTAATACAGAACCTAAGAAGCACAAACACTTCACATGTCCTATTTTTGTAAAAATGTGTTCGTGTTGTGTTGTGTGCTTGTATTTCTTAGTAGATAATTGTAATATCATTAAACATATCTATAATGGAGGTTTATACTGATCGATTAGGAAGATTAATTTTTAAGTTTGTTGACCTGATGATTTAGTTTTTCTTTAATGGAGGCAATTTTTTATTTATTATTTATTTACTATTATTATTATCATTTTTTACAGCAACTGCAATGACTGAACTTCATGCCACCATCGCACATTCAACCATTCGAGGGCTCATTTGAAATGGAAAGCCTCTGGAGTTTCAGATTCCTGGTAATAAAAAAATGTTACTGGTGTTGGATTCCTCAAGCCACTTCCACGGCAAGTAGGCAGGTACAAACAGGATAATTACAAGGCAACAACAGCCAAATTATCAAGTACAGTCAGATGTGTTGGCTCTTTGTTTGCAACAGCATGCACCGCGTTCCAGTTTGTGTTCAACAACTAGAAGATGAATCTGTGGCATGCGCTTCGCTTTCAATTCCTGGTAAAGTGCTTTGATTCCATAATAATAAAATCAAGGTTTTAAAGAACTTATTCATTCTGAAAGAAAAGGTCAAAATGCAACAAATGAATAAAAAACAACTACATCTACATCCTGATAAGTCAGAATCAGTCCATTGATTCTTCAGACAACAAAAGACAACGAATAACTGTTATTAAAAAAACACCAACCCACAATTTTAGTAAGCAATGTGTTTCCCAATAACTCAAAAGACATTAGGCTCCTAGTATTGTATTTTGTTGTCCTCTTCTTCATCTCAAACTCGATTCTCTTGGATTCATCAGCGGAACCTGACATCCCCATGGAAGTTTCAGACCATACCTTTTCCCAATTATTGTTTTTTCGTTGAGATGTATCCTGTGTAACTGATATACGTGTCTTCAAACTCCTAAATGTCTTGCCGTCTTCAAGGGTTCGCCTAGTAGATGAGATATACCTTTTTTGGGGTGCAATGTTCGGGGGTGCTGCTATTTGCACTCACTAAACTTCCAAGTTCACCCACATTCTAAGAAGTAATTATTGGCTACTCCCGGAGCAAGAAGACAAGGATGACCCACGTGGGTTGCGTTTTTTCATTTGTCGGAAGCATTACATAGACAACGCCACATGGTACTAGGGGACTGTTTAATAATTTTCATAGTACACCCGTTTCCTAAATGTAAGTTTTTAAAATTTTCTTAGTAAACCCACCATAATACCGAAATTATTCCAATCTCTAATCTTTCAAATACCAACTTCAAACCCGCTCAGCCACCACCTCATCAACCTTTGACCACTGCAGCCACCACCACCGGACACCCTTATCCCTTCTCCTCTATCCCCAACAGCTCTTTTCCCAAATCTCAAAGCTGCTATGACCTTTACCACAACCAGCTCTTTTTCTTATCCTCTCTTTTGCGACCACAATTGCCGCAAATAGGGTTTTGCAAAGGGGTGGTGGTCATTTGGGTTGAGATGGCATAAAGAGGGAGGGGGGGTTGTGGGTGGTGGTGGTGGAAGAGGAGGAGGAGGGTGCACTTAGAATTTTTTTTCTTTGTTTTGGATTTTTTGTAGTTTTTTATTGAATGGTAATTGTGCTCAAGGTAATTGTGGGTGGTGGTGGAGGAGGAGGAGGGTGCACTTAGAATTTTTTTCTTTGTTTTGGATTTTTTGTAGTTTTTTATTGAATGGTAATTGTGCTCAAGGGTAAAATGGCAATAAAAAAATTTATTATTATTATTTTGTAATTGAACTTAAACTAATGTATGTGCAACCGATGTTTTACTGTTGCATAATACGCCGTCTCTTTTCTATTCTCCTCTTACGGATGACCAAGGAAAAAAAAAATTACAATTGTATATTCGTTATTTACCGTTACAGAGATGCTAGCTGGGCTGCTGACTTCCCTTTTATTGCCTATCCTAAAAATAAGAAAATAAATATTGTATACTTATAGTTTTATATGTTAATGTAGTGAACCAGTAATTAACAATATATAGCACATTTTTCTTGTAGTTTCTCTTGGAGTTGATAATTTGAACTCCACTAAAACAACATAATCAATAACCAAAAGACTAGTCAAATTTAAGCCCTTGTCATTAAACACTACATAAACACACATTGTCGTTTCGTCACCTCAACTAGATCAACTGTCCAGAGCCAAGTCAAATTTTAGCCCGGCAGGCGTGGCACCTACAATGTGCCAAAGTTGTCATGTGCGCCTAATATCATTTTCTTTTTTATCTGCAAAAGACTAATGCATTAAAGTAGACTTATGACAAAGGTAATTACATCCTTCGAGAAGCAAAAACTAAACCCCAAAAGATAATGAGCTCCAACCAACCAGATGCACAACCAAGGCAAAACAACAAGAAGCAAGCATAGACAAATAGTTGGCAAGGAAACACAACTCAAGTTTTGAGTCCCTTGGGGTGATCTTTCTTTTCAGCAACTCATCTCTTGTGGTAATCTTTTCCAAAAATGATATATAACCAGCAAAACAGTAGAGTTTTTGGAGAGACAAATTACTCTCCTAAAACTCTTTTCCATTCCTATTTTCCTTTGAACTTGCTTGCAAAAAGACTTAACAGAAAAATTCCTATTAGTCTCTTATTTCTATATGGAAGTTTCAGACCACCCTACCTTTTCCAATTATTGGCTTTACCTTAAGATGTATCCTTCTTGATATTTGGTGAATGAGACACTCTCTTATTGAATGTGATATTCGGGTTTGAATTCTCCTACACCATGTAATATAGTTTTTCCCCTACTCTCTTTTATTCCCCTCCTACTACTGATGGCTGAAAAACACAATTTTGATGTTCACTATTATTCACCCTAACAGAGATCCAAAGTTAGGATTCACAGTTCCACTTCATTGGCTATCCAAAAAAGGAAAGAAAAGAAATGTTGTATATTGGTTTGCCCATCATTTTATATTGCTAGAGTATATGGTAAGATTTTGGGAATTGTTATATATTATTTGTTTATTTTTTATCAGGGTACTTGACAAAATATTATTTATCTTTATTGATTATACAAGGACTCATTCCAAGATTTTCTTTACTTTCGTTATTTCTTGGATAAATTACACTTTTCACCCCTATAGTGGACCCAAATTTCACTTTGTTTTTTGTTATTTCAATTTGAATAATTTAATCCTTTCACTTTAAGTCCAGTTTTAATTTGGTCATTCCGTCCAAATTTTTTTTCTACGTGTACACCTTAGGGTCATGTTTGATTCAAAAGACTAATAGTGAAGTATTAATAATCCTATTAAATTAGTGTAGGATTCACTATCCAATTGGATTAATATCCATTGGATTAATAATCCCACCCCTACCCCATTACTAATAATCGTACAAATTTGTTGGATTAATTATCCATTGGATTAATAATCCTAAACCAAAATGTTAAAACAAACATGAGATAATTGGGCCCACGGATTAATAATCCTAATCCCATGCTCTAATCCACCCAATCAAACATGCCGTAGGTGACTAGCATGCATTACAAAATTGTTTACTTTAACGTCCAATTTGAAGGGAAAGATCAAATTGAAATAATGACTAAATTTTTTTTTCCCTAAAAATAACGATTATGTTTTTATTTTTATTTTTTATGTTTATTATGATTGTGATTGATTCATGGTCATTGTACATAATATGATATATATTGTCTCTTGTTCTTTTCTTTTGTTGTAATGTTTCTAGTTAAAGATATAACCATTAGGAGGGGTTTTTATCAAAAAGGAGAAGCAAATATCAATCTATATAGCTTTAGCAATCAGAGCTAAAAGATTAAAGGTGCTTATAAAAATTAAAAAAAAAAGGGTTTTTTTTTTTTATTTTTAACCTAATTAAAAGAAAATTAGACCTATTAAAGTGATAAGGTAGGAGTAAAACCCAAGCAACCAGCCCCAAAAAATAAACAAATAAATTGAGGCGGAAAAGCTAGAGAATATGAGCTTTCGGAGTGTGCGAAGGAACCAATTAAAGATTGAAAAAACAGAGTATAATTTGCAAGGATTGAAGCGTCTAACTGGAACTTGCTGGAGCTTATTTTCTTAGGATGTGAGCTTTAGTTATCAATAAGGATAATCGATTGCGGAAGATCCTTCTTTTCACTTTTTTTATTTCTTGCTTTTGCATCTTTAATTGCTCTAGGTGAAACTCTCTTGCCAGAAAAGAAGGTGTTGAACGGCATGAGTCTCTGGGCACGTGATTCTCTATCCTTAAAATTTATTTATTATTATTTTTTTGCACTCCCGAGTGTTATGATTGAAAATGATTTGAGAACAGAACGGACAAAACCATGGCATCAAATTTTAAAATTTTTTGTTTCATGTTCATATAATTACATAATCAAATGAGGGCGGAGGCTTTTTTATTTTTTTTTATTTTTATTGAGAGTAGTACATTTCTTTATTTTCTTTTGCTTGATTTGTAGTATGTGTTTCAGCTATCGTCTTGACATTTGTGGTAGTGTTATAGTTTATCATTCGCTATCTTGTTTGGCATTGTTTTGTTTTAGTAATTTCATAAAACAAAAACACTCAAATACTCCATAATATTCATTTTCACATGAAAATCGATTTTGAGAAATCAAAAAACAATTTAAAATTGGGCGTTTTTAGACAACTTGTCAAATGATTTTTTCATGAATAATGCTTGGGACCCCCTTTTGGGGGTCACCCCCTCACCCCCCTTTGCCACGTGGCGGGTGGTGATTGGAGGAGCAGGAAAAAAAAGAAAAAGAAAAAGAAAATGTAACCAATGAGAGAGAGAGAGGAGGTCAAAGGAGGTGGGGGGAAAAGGGGGATGAATTATTGTTTTTTCATATATTTCTTCTTTTGTGTTTTGGTACACTTCAAAAATGAAAAAATTGCGAGTTTTTAGCCCAAATAGGCCCAATCTTGGTAGGGAGGGTTCATGAAACAAAACATTTAGCCCAACTAATCATCAGTTTTGAGGCTATCACAGATTGTTTAATAAATTGTTTCATTCTTTAACATTGTAGGAAAATTGTACCTATGCAGTAACAAAAGAAACATGTACAAAAGGGTGCTGAGACCTCAAACCATGTCAGCCTAAGATTTGGTGACACCTCAATTCCAAGCACGTGAGATGGTTAGACTCATTGGAGCCACAAGTCCTTGATGACGTGTAGAGAAAACCATTTCAAGCTTGCATGGTAAACCAGTTTCAGATCACAGCCCAGTGTGTGGAATCACCCATTTGCTACTTATACCTCAAATTGACCAGTGACGACGACTGGCAGCCGGTTTCGTTTCGCTCAAGTCCGGGTGCTTGAGGGCAAATCCCACTTGAGCTCAAATTATTTCTATTTTCGCCGGTATTTGCCTAGACATGTGTGGCATGGCTTGGACTTGTGTGATAGGGAGGTGACGCCCTTTGGGATCATCTTTTAATAAAATAACGATTATGTTTTTTCTCTAGAACAGTTGGCATTAGAATATTGGCCTTATTGTGCTTGTCAATAGGCCAAAATGCTAAGCATTTGCCCATATATCTAGATGTATACTAGCGGTGGGTGCAAATGTAGCATTTGCAATTTTATATTTAAATTTTTTGATAATTTGATTATTGAGGAAAATTTATTAGTAGGTTTGGATGGTTTGATGAATGAGAAATCATTTTAATAGTTATTGGATGTGATAGTAATTGGGTGGAAAGGGGTGACAATTACTAGGCTAGAAGGGCATTCTTGAAAAAATAAAAATCGTGATAGTGTTCACACTAACTTATTTGTACGTTTCATATAATAGAATAAATATATATTTTTGATTTTTAGAGTTGAACCCAGAGATTATGAATAGCAAGTGCAGGGCTGAACTGGAAGTATCAACTTACCGGTAATTGGATGGTTGAGGGTTTGGACATTATCATCCTTGTTACTCAGATTTGTACTTTTTGGATTCATAGCATCTTATGATTCTCACATTCCCACCCCGTGATACTTGATCACAATTACAATTCATCCCATCCTCCACAACTATTAAAATTAAATAAATAAAATCTGTCTCTACATATACAGATTTTAGTCTTATTAGCTGACACATATGTCTTGACCAATGTTGTGGCTGACTCCACATCATTATATTAAGATAATCGTATCAAAATTATTGTTATTGATCTTAGATAATTCTCAATAAATTTATTTGGTTATAAAAGCCCCCCAAAAAGTATTTGCAGAAGCCAAATTCATATTATCTTCTTAATGAAAAAATTGACATCATTACAAAACAATTGATGTAGAACGCAGTAGGAGAAGAATAGAAGAGAGAGGAGGAAATCCTAACACAATGGTCACAGCTCTAATCTCAATATTATTAAGCCAAAGTTGGCTAAGAGATTGTTAAAACATCTTACTTATAGGCTAATAACACTAATAAAAAATAGGAAACTAAATTCTAACAAAATAGGAAACCAAATATTACTAATCCTGATAAAATTATAAATAAAATGAATAAACATAAACAAAATCTCCATGCCAACTTGGAGTGCGCACTTCCCGCATCATCAACAATACAGCTGAGAAATCATTTTGCGCTTGTGATTGCATCTCGGAAGGGAAACCATTCGCCTTGGAGTCATCTGCAGACCAAATAAAGATGCCATGAAGTTCACCTTGACTTTTGAGCATGCTGCAGGCTGTAAAGAACCCGTTTTTAGGCTTCAAGCCACCGCTTGCATCGGTGCCGAAGCTCACTAAAACTTTACCTCCTTTATAGTTTGAGGTTTGAGTCTCAAAATGTTGTAGAAACTGAGGAATAGTTGTCCCCTTGTCATAGGCATAAAATTGGAAGTTCACATAGTCTATTAGATGCCCATACTTCCTCCACAGAGCCAAGTAATGTGGCTGGACATTATTATCATCATATGGTGCTATCGATGCAAATGACACAATCTTACTTTGTTTGAGGTTGAATATTAGCTGTCCCATGCACTCGGCGAATGTATTGGGATCAGCATGGAAGTGTTCATAATCGATGTCAATTCCATCCAAATTGTTTTCTTTGACTATCCGATTGATTGAACTAATAGCATTTCTAACCCAAGAACTTATTGTTGCAGGGCTGTAGAAGACAGTGTGATTGCTAACGGTATCACCTCCAAGACTCATAGCTAACTTGACATTTGGATGGCGGGCCTTGATGGAAGAAGCCTGAGATGGGCTGAGGTTGTTGGTTTCCCAGAAGGCACTGAAGTCACCATTAGTTGGGGTAGGGGAAGCTGTGTTTGTGTAGTCAATGGCAAAGGAAAGGATGAAATGGAAATCAACATTGGGATTAATGGGTACATCTGAAAAACGAATGTTGTTGCCATCAGCTCCTACGTATTCTCTGAAGAGCTTCGAGTTTGTTGGGGCTGCTTGGATTAGTGAAGAAGTGGCAATGAGGACATGGAAAATGCACAAACAAACAAGGATCTTTGATGAAGCCATGCTTATTGGATGTAGAGTTTCTGTTTCTACAAGGTATTTATAATAGCAAAATGATTTAAACTATTTAAGTGTCAACAATGTATTTGATTCTATGAGGGCATTTAATTTTACTCGAATCTTCATTTGTTTATGCAGGTGTACAGTACCATACACCGTCTTTTAGTTATTGTATATCTATGAGCAATCTTCTGTCGCTGTCTTGTTTTAGTTAGAACTTATCTACAACAAATCATAATGTGTATTCTATTCTCTCCTAGGCATGAACTTAAAATTTAGCACCTGTACTGGACATAGCTCCAGGAGAAAAAAAAACTGGTGCTATTTTATTTGGTTTCTTATTTCATGACAGTGAATGGCATGAAATGGGATGGGATATCCTATTATCGAATGTTAATACAGAACCTAAGAAGCACAAACACTTCAGGTGTCCTGTTTTTGTAAAAACGTGTTCATGTTATGTTGTGTGTTTGTATTTCTTAGTACATAATTGTAATATCATTAAACATATCTATAATGGAGGTTTATGCTGATCGATTAGGAAGATTCATTTTTAAGCTTGTTGACCTGATGATTTAGTTTTTCTGTAATGGAGGCAATTTTTATTTTATTTTATTTTATTTTTTTATTATTATTTTTTGCAGCAACTGCAATGACTGTGAACTTCATGCTACCATCGCACATTCAACCATTCGGGGGCTCATTTGAAATGGAAAGCCTCTCTAGTTTCAGATTCCTGGTAACAAAAAAATGTTTCTGGTGTTGGATTCCTCAAGCCACTTCCTTGACAAGTAGGCAGGTACAAACAGGATAATTACAAGGCAACAACCGCCCAATTATCAAGTACAGTCAGATGTGTTGGCTCTTTGTTTGCAACAGCATGCACCGCATTCCAGTTTGTGTTCAACAAGAAGAAGATGAATCTGTGGCACGTGCTTCGCTTTCAATTCCTAGTAAAGTGATTTGATTCCTTAATAATAAAATCAAGGTTTTAAAGAACTTATTGTGGAGATATATTTTCTGAGTACCAACACGTGGCCAAAGTGACGCCGAGGTGTCAGCCGAGGTGTCACGTGTTCTGATTGTTATACCGAGGTCATCTCGGATAGGCCGAGGTTACCTCCGAAAATATCGGAATCCGAGATAAGCGGATGAGGGGTAAGAGTCCTAAAATGAAAGAAGACTTCAATTTGCATTAAGATAAAGCTCTTAGAGAGTTTATCCTAATCTTACTGGGAGTCCAAGATTAGCAGTAATCCTGAGTCCATAGAAGTTAGGCTTCTATTGAGACTAGGTTTATGTTGGCTATAAAAGAGAGGCACCTCATGGGTCTAAGGTATGCTTTTGATACTCAAGCTTGTGAGTTTAGCACTTGATTTATCTTTGAAAGATATACTGACTTGATCGTCGGAGTGCCCCAGGTGGACGAACTATCGCCGGAATCTTCTCTTTCTGTTGCAGCTCAGCCAGGTGCCATCTATTTTGCCGGTGCTCTCCAGCTGGTTACTAAGCGGGCAGTGTGGTCAGAAAATCACTCACACAATTTGGCGCCGTCTGTGGAAAAGAAAGGAGAATAGATGGTCATCATCGTACAAGATCAACGTAGCGGAAACGACGAGTTTAGCAAAGATGGAGAATGTGTCGACATAAACAGAATAACGACCCTTCCAGAAGGGACGCAAAGATAGGGGGCATGAGCGCTCCCAAGGAGATGACATTCGAGTATAGAAGAGCTCAGCCTAAGTGAGCAAATCCCGGATCCCAGATCCCAGAAGACATGATCTTGGCCTAGATGAATAGGTTCGAGAAGAGAAGAGCTCAACCTGAGTGAGCAGATTCAAGATTTCAGAAGACAAGAGCTCGGTACTTAAATCTGAGAAGAGAAGAGTTCAGTGAGCAAAATCTCAGATCCTAGAAGATAAAAAAGAAACAAACAATTAGGGGGCAGAGAGAAGACAAAGATGTTTAACACTTGTTGAAATTCTGTGTGAATTTACAAGTTGAAGTTAAATCGAGATCATTGTTTAACACTTGTTGAAATTCTGTGTGAATTTACAAGTTGAAGTTAAACTGAGATGATGTTTAACACTTGTTGAAATTCTGTGTGAATTTACAAGTTGAAGTTAAACCGATGTGACATTTAACACTTGTTGAAATTCTGTGTGAATTTATAAGTTGAAGTTAAACCGAGATGATGTTTAACATTTGTTGAAATTCTGTGTGAATTTACAAGTTAAAGTTAAACCGAGGTCATATTTAACACTTGTTGAAATTCTGTGTGAATTTACAAGTTATACACTGTTGTCAATATAATCGAAAGGAAGATGGTTTTAACACTTGTTGAAATTTTTGAGAAAAATTTACAAGTTAAAGTCAAGCTCAAGCAATATCTGCGTACTTACCGGGACTACCAAGTTGTCAAAACTTGAAATATGAAAAACTGAAGTCTTGATAGAAGACATTGAGAAAGTGACAAGTCCTAAACAACACTTGTGAAAATATTTGTTACAATATTTTCAAGTGTTAGGACAAGGCCGAGATGAGCAAGATTAGAAATTGTGACAGAAGTATTTTACCCGAAGAGATTGCACAGTCAAGGTGTATTTTGAAGACATGCAAATTATTCTAAGTATAGAATCATACAAGAGCAGAAAAAAGAAGACATTCATTCAAAGAAGAAATTAGAGAAATGCATTTAAAGAAGAAAGAAGGCACTTCGGCCTAAATATTGAAAAATAAATTATTCAGACTACAAAAATGGCACGTCGGCCGGATTAAAAGCATACAAAGAAGGACAAAGTACAAGGAGTAAAATGTCACGACCCAAACCCGTCCCTATGGGTTTAGCACCGTAACTGGCCAGTAATCCAAGATTACCGAAGGCCTGCTTAACAGTAATACAGTAATACAGAGTACAGGGGCTGGCGGAAGCCAATACAGTAAATAAACAATGTCCAATGAGCTGTGACAGTCTGTACGCAAAAAGACTTTTCATTCAAATATATACAGTCAGACAAAACAGTATGTACATATATACAATCATTCAAGTTTCAACCTATCCTATTAACAGTACTCGATAACAGTCTATCCAGTCGTACTAAAACACATACAAGGACAGACGGGAATTAAAAACACCCCTAAGCCGTAGTTTGACAGGCTCGGAAGCCTCGCATGAGCACATAGGTTGGCTCGACAAAACTAGACGTTTTACCCCGAACGCTTCGAGCTGCGGTCTAGTCCTAGTAACACCCTACATATATATGATTGAGCAGTGAGCTAAAGCCCAGTGAATAACACAATGCGTAAAGGGGTTAAGAATGAATGTCCTTACAGTAATGAAAACAGTTCGTTAATTCAGTATATCAGTCATTCAGTCATATGTGGTACATCCATTAGCATAACAGTACAGTAAACAGTAGGTCTTAAAAGACCGAACAGTAAATGATGGCCATCTATCAGTAAACAGTAGTGGTTCCAACAAGGGAACCGACAGAGATCTCTGTAACAGTAACAGTAAATAGTAGTTGCTAAGGATGCCACAATACAGTTCAGAATATAGGACATACATTCATTCAATTAACAGTATTAGTTCAGAAAACAGTACAGTGCAATTGTTCAGAAGATAATAATTTTGAACATATCTTTACACAGTTGTTGCTCACAGAGTTCCGGGCTACAGTAAACCTAGAGCGCGTCCCCAGTCGCCAACCCTACACAGTTACAGATTGAACACACACTAAGCTACACAGTTGGGAAAGATAATAACTTAATCCCTAATTTGCCTCGGTGTGTTCTACATCTATATCCTCAATAAGATGTCTTAAACTAGGCCTAAGAATGCCTAGAATGAGATGAGGATGCAAAGATGCACTTTAAAAGCATTTTCAGACTTTTCAGAAAACAGGGGCCACGCTCGAGCATAGGTTACTCCGCTCGAGCGGACATGCAGACAAAGGTTTCCGCTAGAGCGTAGACTTACCCGCTCGAGCGTTCTGCAAAACAGTCAAAAGTGCTGGATAGGTGAAAATCACGCTCGATTGGGCGCTCGACACCCGCTCGAGCATGAGACACAATGTCTCGCTCGAGCGTCAATTATTCCACTCGAGCGGACTTCAAAACAGAACAAAAATGCTAGGAGCACGATTTCCACGCTCGAGCGCCAGTCACCCCGCTCGAGCATGAGTCCAAATTCTGGAAATTCTAGATTTGAACCTCAAGCTCAAAACCAAGTTTTAAACCATAAATTTCGATCCTCTTGGGCCAATTTTCCAGAAAACACATCAAAACTCATACTTTAACATGATTCAAAGCTCAATTTGTAAAATCAAGGCCCAAGGGTGTTTCAAACAACTCAATTTGAAACCAATTTTCATGAATATGAAGAACATGCAAACATGCATGAATTTAAATCATTTCAAAGCTTTAAATACAAGCTCAAATGAGCTAACTCTTACAAAAACAAGATGAAAACATGGACTTAACATAACCATGAGCATGCAAGTGACAATTCTCCATGGAATCAACTCAAAATTCAACAATTCAAACATGCATGCATGGAATGAGCTCCAATTCAACATTAATGAACCAATTCTTGACTTAGCTCTTTAAACTACCATGATCCATGCTAGAAGGGACTTAAATACACAATAAGAAGGATGAAATTCGTTCATAGGTTCCTCAAGTACAATTCTAGAGGCTTAATTATGCACTTAAGCTTTCAATTCCTCAAGATTCAAGCCAAATTGTGAAGAACTCAAGCTTTCACTACCTCTCACTCTCTCAAGTCGGCAAGAACAAGGAAAAAGGGATGATGAAGTGTGCTATGTGATCAAGTGTGTAAAGCTCAAACATGGCTCATGTAGTGGGCCACTAAGTGTGGCAAAAATGGTAAATAAGTGTAACAATGTAATTTAACTCATTTTAATCTAATTTAATCATACCTAATCAGTTTTCAGGTAATTACACCATAAAATCACATAAATCACGATGATCATAAAACACTAATCGGTTTCCGGTTCGGCCGCCGATAAGGCCCT